AGTGTATTTGTGATGGGTAGCACTGTACGTATCGTGTATGGGTCATTTCTGAAGTATAGTTCGAAATAGGCACCCGTGTGTAGTCACAATCATGTCGTTAGTTCTGTCTCTACGTGCTTAATGGTAAGTTTTGGAGTTGTATTCAATGTTATATAAGAATTTTACTGTGCACATTTGCTTGCATGGACGATTCATATCTCCATTGCTTCACTGAGTTTGTTGTAGATTTGCGGTGTTCGTCAGGGCTGTGTTTCTGTAACTGTGTTTGTATACGTAGATTTTTGAGCCTGCATTCTGTATGATGTTGTTTTAGGTGGCTATGGTAATTCCAATTTAAGGACGTCAACAAATGTATTTTGCATACATATGTGTCTCATGTTTTCTATATCATCTTTTCTTTATTCTATCATATATATATATATATAATATATATATGTATATATATATATATATATATACATATAAGCATTAATATATGAACTATATCTGATAATGTATAAGATATGTGTATTTCACTTGGGGAATGCATATTGTTCTGATGATGCTGCTAGTGTATGTATCAGTGTTACATAATACAGTATCCGTCATCGCTGAAAGCCAAAATTGAGTACTTGCATATATATATCGATGTCTCATACCTGACTATTGTATGCGTGCATCATTTGCAGGTTTTTCGCAACTGTATGTGTTCTAGACCTCTCCCGTGTTTCATATGCATACATTAATCGATAGTAAATGTATAGAATAACACCCCCTCAATATTTTGCCCGACTGTCCGAGGGCTGTGTGGACTTCACATAATTGTTTTATAAGAATTGTGTATATGTCATTCACATACACACCACCATACCGTGACATCCAATATTAAGCTCATACCGATGTACGCTTGTACGAAGTGAATACACATCCCATAATAAGCTCATACCGATGTGCACTGGTACGAAGGGAATATACATCCCATATTAAGCTCGTACAGATGTACACTTATACGAAGAGAATATACATCCCCGTATAATCATATAAATATACATGAAAAATCCCCAACGGACCATAAAGTATTGACTCATCTGTGTATGCATATCTCCACTCAGTTGGCGCTGGTTGTCATTGTGCCAGTGCTGTCGCTGTCGGCCATTGCACTCGACTGGGCCTATTTCTTCAGAGGCATCTCAGTAGATCACACCAACATACACGGATACACGCCGACCGACGAACAGAACTACGGTATGGTTTACTTTGTTTATGGACTACTGTTGCTATGGTTACATGGACTAAGTTACCACTATGATTACGACATACTCATGATCTCACTGATGGGTATTGAACAATTAGAGCACATTTTGAATATGGCACGAGCAATTTCACGGCTTCTGCGATTGTTTCTTTCTTCTCCACCGTGCTTGAGTGTTCACACTGGGGCTATGCCAGGCAGCGCTCTGGTGCATTAGGTGCTAGGGTCAAGCAAGACTTTAAACCACTACCTACAGTCGTTACTCATAATAACTGTGGCGTGTTGGTGGTTCTTTAACCCATTACACATTGCTGAAAGTGTGTTGAGCACTGATGGTCTCTGCTGCTATCCCTTCGCTTATCTGCAGACATGGGAGGTACGGCTACGCCGCCCATGATGGTGAGCATCTCTCGCGGCGATGGTATCCAGGTGACCATTCTAAAGGCAGTCATCAGTAGTGTTATAGGCTTCTTTGTTGTTCAGCTGCTGAAGGTATGTCGCTATGACAAGGAATGCGCCTGTGAGTTTCCATGGGGTTCGAATCCGGGGTTGTGCCCCGTATGCTATTGAATGTGTACGGTGATTGTAATGTTTTTACCGGTCTTCCCAGTTATGTATGTGCACAACAGTGCAACTGTTTTCCTGTCCTTGTTAATGCATAGACAAATTTTTCAATGTCAATTCGTGATAGCTACACCCACTGATGTACACATATTGCTCTAGACTAGCTCAATCTATACCCTATTGAAGTTTATGGACCGTCCAAGCCTCAAAAACGCCCAGATGTATCTAGTACCAT